GTTGGAACTTCACACCAGCCCGTAAAACCTGTTTAAGCTGTGATAAATGAAAAACAGGACGGATGGAGGTTGAGGTAGGTAATTCCAGCTTCTAGGCAGCGGGTCCAATGCATTGTATAACCTTGTACGGGCCAAAAAAACAAAGGGATAGCTTCTCATTCAGTTTTGTAGCCAAAATGCACCAAAGGTATGGTTAGAGCTCTAAATACACCCTATCCCATCTTTAAACACCGCATCATAGTGCTTCTAGTCAGCTGGCCTTTATCTGCCCTTGAGCCCGAAAAAGGTGTGTTTTGAGGGTTTCTAATATGGTATCCCTCTCAAGTAGCTGCTGTTCCAACATCAAATTGCCCGTGCTTTTAGCCCTAAAATGCAACAAAGGGGCAGATCCCTCCCATAGACAAGCTTAAAAGGAGTGGTGGAAATAGATGAATGATATGTAGTGTTACACCAATACTTGACCCATGCCAACCAAGAAAACCATGTTGATGGTTTCTCTGATGAAAATTGGTAATTTTCCAAGCACCTATTTGCCACTTCCATTTGACCATCCGCCTATTGGTGACAAATAGTACTTCTATGCAGCTGCATACCTGTAGGTGAAATAGATCCCCCAAAAGTAACAAATGAATACTTTGTCTTGATACGATATGATTGGTATGGAATTCCATGAAGCCATACTACCTCTTAGTAAAGGTGGTAGCCATTATGTTAACTGAATATGGATGCTTAAGAGGGAATCCCATACTTAATCTGCCCAGAATCACCAGTATTATAGTGAACCCTTGTGACTTAGGCAATCCTTCAATAAAAACCATCACAATATCTTCCCATATAAGATGGGGTATGTGAAGCGATTATAACAAGCCTGCTGGGGTAAGCGACTAAACCCTATTCCTTTGAAAAGTTTCCCATGTCTCAACAAATTTCTTTACGTCTTTTTTCATATCTGACCATTACAAATCTGTCATGATATTGTAAGTATAGAGGAACCCAGAGCACCCTCCCACCAGACTAGCATGAAACTCATGGAGAACAAGGGGAATCAAATCGAATCCCATGGCAAGACTACGCAGCCCTTACTTAGTAGTTCCCATTTATCAATGAATAATTGGGCCATGTACTTGGGTCAAATTGTACTTTCTTTTTAATTTGGGAGAGGCAAGGGTCAGCCTCCCCTGTGCTGCTATCTTCTGGATTTCAAGGACCATAAGGCAGGTGAGACTGGATAGCTCAGGTGTGATGTGCTGCCTTGACAAATCATCGACAACTTTATTTTCCAATGTGGGTTTCTATTGAATCTCAAAGTTATATCCTATAAACTTAGACAACCAACTTGGTACCAGCACGCCCTATCCTATGTTCCAACAAGTACCTTAATGAGCGTTGGTTAGTGCGTACCACAAACAGCCTTCACAATAGATAGTGGTGCCACTTCTGAACTGTTAAGACAATTGCCATTAATTCCTGTTCATACATTGATTTCCTTTGAGCCGAATCAGACAAGGTTTGACTGAAATATGCAACCAACCCTTTTCCTTGGGTCAATACTGTAGCTACCTCTGATCCGAATGCATCTGTTTCTAAAATGAAAGGTTTACAGAAGTCAGGCAACGATAAGATGAGGATAGAGACCATTGCTTGTTTTAGGTACTTGAAAGCTTCCTCCGCCTCAGGATCACAGGAAATGCATCTTTGTGCAATTGCCTGGTAAGAGATGCTACAAATTGGCTTGTAACCAGCCACAAGTGGACAGTAGTAGCCTATCAGGCCTAAGAACCCCCATAGACCTTTAAGACACCTCCAAGATGGACATTTCAGCATGACCTCTATCTTGCTTGGGTCAAATGCTATCCTTCTGCGGACACCAAATAGCCCAAGTACTCAACTTGAGACATAGAGAAGGTGCAGTTCTTTTTCTTTTTCTTTTTTTTTTGGAAATGATAGCAAAGGTGCATTTCTTATGCGGCATACAATTCTCTGCTGTTAGCACTTCTAGGACCAATTTAAGATAGTTGTACATGTGCATTGTGATCATGGCTATTAATATATTATCACAAAAAACCAAGACAAACTTCTGAAAATGGGGTCAAAATACTCTAGTCGTTGATGACTCAAAAGTGACAAGTGCATTGGAAGTCCAAATGGCACAACCAAAAACTCATAACACCCTTCATGTGTGTGAAAGCTGTTTTAAGGATATCCTCCTGGCAAAAACAAATTTGGTGGTATCCGGATGTGAGATCAAGCTTTGAAAATACTCTCTTCGTCAATGACTGAAAAGTGGCAAGTGCATTGGAAGTCCAAATGGCACAACCAAAAACTCATAACGCCCTTCATGTGGGTGAAAACTGTTTCCAGGATATCCTCCTGGCAAATGCGAATTTGGTGGTATCCGGATGTGAGATCAAACTTTGAAAATACTCTATTCGTCAATGACTGAAAAGTGGCAAGTGCATTGGAAGTCCAAATGGCACAACTAAAAACTCATAACAGCCCTCATGTGTGTGAAAGCTGTTTCCAGGATATCCTCCTGGTAAACTCGAATTTGGTGGTATCCAGATGTGAGATCAAGCTTTGAGAAAACTTATGCCCCATGCAGTTTATCAAGTAGTTCATCTATCATGCATAAAGGAAAATGATCCAGTGTCAGGACTCTATTAAAGATCGGTAATCAACACAAAATTGCCAACTTCCATTTTTCTTCTTGACTAGCTGCATTGGACTTGAAAAAAGACTCACATTAGACTGGATGATGCTCGCTGCTAGCATTTCCGGGACCAACTTCTCTAATTCATCCTTTTACAAACGAGGGTATCTATAGGGTTGCACATTAATCAAAGAGGTTCTCCTTTAACTGAATTATGTGATCCACTTCTCTCATTGACGGTAACTCCATAGGCATTTCAAAGACTTATTGAAATTGCCCCAAGTGTTCTTTGATTAGGTCCAGCAGGTCAGATATGTTGTCTTCCAGTGTGGCCATCACAACCCAGATTCCACCAAGACCCCTTGGCCTCCATAGTGGATCTCTTTCACCATGGTTTTCAAGAATACACATTATTTATTCACAGGTAGCTGGTTACAGTTGATGTCCATACCACCCAATGTCCCAACCATTGCATCCCTAACACCACCCAAGTGCTGCCCAGATCCAAAGGAAACAAATCTTGCACTATTTTAGGCTTTGCATAATTAAAACCACCCTTCAACAAATTCGTCTTCCTTTCATCGCCACGCTGTTCCCTTGACCATTCCATAATTGGTAGTCCCCACTAACTTGGCCCTAATGATATTGTGCATTGCCCCACAATCAATAAGTACGGTCACCTAAGTGCCCCTAATGGCCCCCTTCAGCCTCATAGTCCTAGGGTGTAGATAACCCAACCACTGAATTTAGGGAAAGTCCAATAGTCTCAGTGATATGATCTGCTGATTCCCCTGCTTCAATCATCCCTGGCTGTCCTTCATTCCCATCGTCTTCATCATTGAATACTAGTAACACTCAAAGTTACTTGTTTTGCATATGCGACCTGTACACTTCTCGTCACACTTGAAGCATAATCTTTTGGTTCTCTGGCCAACCATTTAGATTCTGGCAACCTTTGAACAGATACATCTTTTTTCCCCCCCCGCCTTGAAAGGCGCTCTTCTAACACCACTAATCGTGTGATAAATGGTTCATGCCCCCTCCTAATGAGCTTCTCTGGTGAGGAGAAACTCATCCTGTCATTTTGGGTTCCCTTCAGCACACTCTTTCTATTTTCTATTAGCTAAGTGAGATCCATAATCTGATCCAGTCCCGTGGAATTCATTAGCATAAGTTTAGCCCTGATTTTTGGTTTTAATCCATTAACAAAAGTGCTCAAGGACCTCCATGACAGCCCTTGGAGCAGCA